AAGGAAGGAAGGAAGGAAGGAAGGAAGGAAGGAAGGAAGGAAGGAAGATAGGTATCTTAAAGCCTTTTGGGTAGTGAATGTCATGTCTGCCAAATAAACATGAGATGGGGTAAATATTCTTAACAGTAGGCACATCTCAAAATCAGAGTGAAGTGAAAAGCATTACTAAAGAAAAAAGTAAGTGTATCTCAATCTTTATGACCTTTAGAGGCCAATTAGAAAGCTATCAAATATCTATAACTATACAATTTACCTGACAGTTGAGCTGATAATTTATCTTCTTAGGCTCAATGTATAGGTGCTCAAATATATGAGAGCTTTCTAATTGTCAATTCAGAAAAATATGGAAAGTAGGATTACTAATCCAAATCGGTTGTTCTATATGAGAAATTTTATAAAATTTATGTGTATGGGTGTTTGCCCACATGCATGTCTGTGCACCAATTGTGTGCCTGGTTCCCAGTGATAACAGAAGGAAGCCTTGGGTCGCCTAGAACTGTAGTTACAGACTTTTGTGAACCAACATACGGTGCTGGGAATTGAACCCAGGTCTTCTGGAAGAAGAGGTTAACAGCACTGGCTGTTATCAGTGATTACATATCAGTGTTGACCGTGATCTATTTCTCCATCTGCTGATTATTCTACTGGAAAGAAATCATTAATCCTATGATGAAATTGACCTCTGCTATAGTAATACACTAATCAGTGGAAAATTTAATTTGCAGTGTAGCTTTTGTATTTTTCCCTTGATATAAGTTTAAATATAACTTGTTATATGATAATCAAAGAATTGTTTTGCCCTTATATTTCCTTTTTAAATTACAAGAAAATAGTTCCCATACTTCTTTTTCGATTAAAATTAAAATGGCATAGGTTAGTGCTAGAATTTATTCAGAAATAATATTCTATTGTCTTTATATACATTTTACTTATCTACTGATTGGTTAATTGAAGCATAGTAGACCTAAGTTATATGTGTGTGTATAAGTTATATTATAAAATTTCTACATTTGAATTTCTTTTTTCAGCTATTTATAGTGAAATTACTGGGTTGTTCATACTCCATCATAATTCTTTATTAGAGTATATTCATTACCTCAATATGATTTCTCATTCCATTTAAAAGACTTATTTTGTGTCTCTAAAATTTAAACTTGACTATTTTGGATGCTTCATATCAATAATATTGCACAAGTAATTTTTTTGATTTTTTGAGACAGGGTTTCCTGCAGCTTTAGAGGCTGTCCTGGAACTTGCTCTGTAGACCAGGCTGGTCTTGATCTCACAGAGATCTGCCTGTCTCTGCCTCCTGAGTGCTGGAATTAAAGGCATGGGCCAACACCACCCAGCACAAGTAATCTTTTGTGTTTGGTTTATTTGTCTTAGCATGTTTCCAAGGTTCATTTATGCTTCATTTAGGATTACTAGTTTAGTTATTTTTTATTGCCAAATAACCACTTGAATTGTCAATATGTTTGAGCATTGTCTCATATGTTTTATAAATGAAATTAAAGGAGAGCATATTTGCACTATATAAATTCTTTGATCTGAGTGTTGAAATCTGCTTATGCAATATAAATAGATAAAGTATAGCCCATGTGATTTGAACTCTTGAATCATGTTGAGTTAATATTTTTCTGCACTGTCTTTCAGAAAAGACCCTAATGTTCCAGTTCCTGATATACCTGTGAATGAAGATTCACTGACCATTCATTTAGATTTGACCATACCGTTTTTACAAGAAGAAATAACTGACGAATACTTTGAACAGGAATCTGAGGATATTAATTTGAAATCAGTGCTTTCTTCTCATGATTCAGTTTTGGTGGAAGATACATCAGACACTCTGTGTAACAATATAATTGACAGGTATTCAGTGTCTTCCATCTTTAATCTAGATGTACATTTACATGGTTTTGAAAAAAAGTGTTTAATAGTATGCTGAGAGAAGCAAGATGTGATTAAAGAAACATTTCCCTGAGGTACCTCAATTCCTGACATTATCATTGCTTCTCGTGTATTACAGATACACTCTGATAATGCATTTAAAGTTTCTCTTCTGGAATGAAAACGAACACCCAACATTGTTATTGTAAAACACTCAATTCTGTACCCAATATTAGCTCTTAAATTTGAGTGAAACTTCCTTCTTGCAACAGAACTATAAGGAAAAAAAAGGAGAAATGGCTTCATTTCCTGGAACTTGAAGGCTGTGCATGCTTCAGCAAAAATACTACGAAATTGGAGCCCCAAAGGCACCATTGTCAGCACATCTCTGTCCTGAGAGTGTCTGCCTGTTTCACCTTCATCAGCAGTGCTTACGATTGTCTATTTGCGTGTGTTATCATCTTCGGTTTCTATTGTGCTGCTTCATTACTGGTTCTCATTTATTGACCAATCTCAGAGGAACAGAAGTCACATTTAGTCCTTGGTAGACCTGTTATATAAATTTCCCCTTGACATACACACCCCCAAAAGAGCTTCCTCAGTTTGATCCCAAACTTCAGTGTAGACTCTTAGACATGTGCATAAAGTAACAACTCTAGACAATAAAATTATCTTTTAGGGCACTGAGTCTCACCAGAACCACAACTAACCATGACAATAACGGTGTTGATTGGGATGATTATTTTAAGTTGTTTTAACATTGATGGACTTAGCCATCAGAGTTCAGTCCAAGATCTACTAGATTAAGAAAGATATAGGGAGAATCAAAGACTTCCTGTGATATTGGCCTACAAGAATTTAATAGCCTCTTAAAGTCAAGTTGAATAGCAATATTGATAATAATAATTTATAGAAATGCAAATATTTCTCAGAAAAGCTGGTAACTGAAAAGTGTAATATTGGTTTACGATTTCTTAGTTGAGAACCCAGCATAATCTTTTCAATTTATTGTCTGCTGGATTTCTCGAAGATTGTTTCTTTGAACTAAGAATATCATGGTTTGCCTCCACCTTTGCTCCCTCTCTCTGTGTTTCTCAAAGTGATGAAGCGCATATGCATCATACGAAAGAGGACATGCTAGAGCTAAATTCATTATTATCTGAGAAGACAGTGGACTTTGACTTTGATCATTTCAATGAGGTAAGCTCATCAACTCAGACTTGTGACTTTCTTGCATTTATATTGATTGCTCCAAAAGCAGAATGGATTGTGAAAATTAGGACTGATAAGAACAGGCCTGGGACTCAGGAATACTTGTGCTTTTACCTTGGTTTTTCTAATTTAATATATCTCATATTTTCCTGGTTTTCTCAAGTCATTATGTCTCTCTTCCTTATAGCAACATCACGATTTGTCTTTAGATGATGTTTTCCTTTCTCTCATAACTTAAAATATTAAACATTGAAGTATCCCATGGTATAAAATTATGATGTTTTGCTTATAGTAGTTTTATGTATTCAAAATTTCCCTTCTTTTCACGGTATTCTCATTGCTGTACAAATCTCCCTTTTCCATGACAGCCAGATGTTTATTTATAATAAATAAACATTATGTTTAGATGTTTGTTTATAATATATCATTACATTAAGATGATTTCATTTCTTTTCAGCCATCCTGTGATGAGTTTGCTCTTCTGATGACAAACAAACCTGAAAATTTACTCGATATAGATGACATGGCAGAAACCAATGTAAGATCCATGTCTGTCTCTATTCCTTTTTATTTCTCTCTGTCTCTTTTTATTGCTGTACCCCATTTACCCCTAGTATTCCTCTTCTACATTGTTCTGCTGCCTTCACCATATTGATCCCTTAAAGCCACTTTTTCCGTCCTAGCAGGCCCCTTTCTAGTTTTTTGACCTTTACCAATATTTACTTCTATTATGATATATATATTTAACAGAGTAAGGATCTACATAAGACAAAGATCACGTGGCATTTGGCTTTCTGGGATTAGGTTATTTTGCTTAACAGAATCTTTTCAAGTTACATATATTGTCCCATAAATTTAATTATTCTTTATGACAAAGTTGAGTTATTGAGAGACATGTCAGCAATGCGGAGGGGCAGGATTGAGTTAGTAAGACTGACTTAGCACTAGTATCACTTTATCATCCATCTTTTACCAATTTTTTTTAAAAAAGATAGAAATTGAACGCCACCCCCTTTCTCTTATGCCATAACTTTATAATTATAGGTAAAATGTTTCACAAAGGGAAAATCTGCATTTTAGTCTCTGACATGATCAAATATCTGAATACTAAATTACTACTGATACTATTATAATTATTACCCAGATTTTATCATGAAAATCCCAAATTTTGACTGGAATTAATTGGGTTGTGAAATGAGTATAGTTACTACTAGAAATTAAAAGAGAAATACAAAGAAATAGGAAAGCCAGTTTTTGAAAATTGCCTCATTAAGTCAGGTGTGGTGGTGCACACCGCTAATCTGAACACTTGTAAGGTAGAGGAAGAAGCATCTCTGTGAGTTGAAGGCCAGTCTGGTTTACAGAGTGAGCTCCTAGACAGGCAGGATTACACAGAGAAACCCTATCTCAAAACAAACAAGCAAAACTCTTCCTTGCTAAGTGAGAGTGGGTGCATGGAAGGAGTTAGAGAGGTGGAAGCTTGGAGGGACTGAAGGGAGGTAAGTGGTATAATTATATATTAATTAAAATGTGTAAAATAATAAAATAAATTTTGAAAATCTTCCTTGCTTGCCTTCAAATAGTAAGAAAATACAATTCTTCCTAGACAACTGTCTTTAAAAGGTCTTTGTCGTAGTTTAGTAAGATCTTATTGCTGCTGCTGTTTTAAGACAAAACTAAAACCCTATTCTCTCAGAATGATTTCTCCAATTAGGGAAACTGTGTAGTTGCGGCCATTATTCTTTTACCATTGATCAGTAATGGGGCTAGAACTTGTTGTAATTCATTCTTGTTATATTGTTTAGACAGGAATGACTTGAAAGAAGTATTATTTCCTTTTTGCAGACATAGTAGGCATATTTGGTGCGTCTCATTACTAATAGTCAAACATGTATGTTGGAAAACAGTATGTACTGTGTTTGCTTCTCACTTGTCCAGTAAATATTAGTAGATACTAGTTCAAGTTAAATGTAAAATAGACTTACATGGTATAGTTGGCTCTAGATGTACTGTGAATTGGTTTTTTTCTTCTGTCTAAAAAGCAATTAGAAAAGAAAGCTATACTTTTAGAAAACAAGATAAATGGAAAATGTACTTTTCTTACCTTTGTTAATCTCTCAAGAAATAAGCTTCTTTGGTCGCAGAGAATGGAAATTATGGTCTCACATTTGCAAAACGTGTTATACAGTCACAGCCTTGAGGGAAAGGTTTTATCTCAGTTATTTAACTTTATCACTAAAAAAAATGACGTATTGATAAGGACTCTAGTGTTTTCTCTTTGTACACAGAGTCTAAGTCTAATGAAAAACGAAGGAGAAGGAAGTCTGCTTGAAGCCAGTGGGGAAAAAGGTACCAAAGAGTTTTTGTAGAATCATCAAAAATGTATGCCCTAGACCCAGGCTCACAAATGACTCTCCATATGACATTCTGCAAGCCATTTAACATTTGGAAGTTCTAGTTCATGCTTGTATAAACCACTTTTCTTATTTCATAAGTTATTTTAAATAAGATTATGTGAAAAACTCTGATATTGACTTTATAAACTTCAGGGAGAGTATATTAATATGTAACTGATTTTAAGACAAAACCCATGGCCAAACATTAAAAAGACACAGTATAATTTTGTGTGCCTCATGTGAAATTGAAAGCTTCTGCAAGTTCTTTTCTAGAAAAGAATTCCTTCACTGTTTACTAAGCCTAGTCATTCACAATTAGTTTTCTATTTTATGGGTAGTGTAGTTCACCAAATTTCTGTTCTAGTGGTTAGTGCCTCCTTAATCCCAAACACATATTTAAATATAACTAGATCTCTTTTCCCATACAGAGTTACCAAAAAAAAATCTGATAGTCTACAGGTATAGTAGGAAAGACTGATAGTAACTTTTAAGAAAATAGTATCTTTGTCTTGGCTACTATAACCAGTTCTGAATATAGCTGAGAAGAGCAGAGGGATAAGTCTTCCACGAGGCACGTAATAGTGTAAAGCTTGTGAATTACACTTTGTTTTAAATCTTCTCCTCCTATGTCACATGTAACAAAGCACTGTCTCTCCACAGACAAACATGTGGAACAAGGCATGGAAAAATCTCAGCTTTTACTATTAGATGGGACATCAGTATGTGATTTTGGAGAAAATCTTCAAGATTCTGGTGACCTCCTTTTGGATAATCTGAAGAACCCACCTAATGTCTTACCAGCTTTATGTGATCATGACTATATAACCTTCAACATTTCCACTACACAAGAAGATACTGCAAATACCATTGAAAATGTTGTTCCCCAGTTATCTATGGAAGCCAGTGGGGAATCCAATGTATTCCCATTTCTCTTTCTCAATCCTGTTACTAATATTTTTTGAAGAGCGTATTAAGCTTAATCTTCAATTATAATTTATTTTGAATTTCAATGAATCTCACTTCCTGCTGGGAAATAAATATTCCACAGATGTTGGCTGATATATCTAGCTTCATCGTGTATCTTCTGTAATTTAAAAATATGTTAAAATTGCTACCTCCCAGTATGAAGACAAGCTTTGACAACTGGGATGAAATTCAAACCACAAAAAGATAAGGAATATGTCCAAATTTTAAAATAACAAAATGTTAGTTTTTAATTTTAAGCCAATAATATTCTAATACCTTATTTGTAATAGTGTTATTGCATTTTTCTAATTAGCAAATTTATGAAGCTAACCTTTGCTTAGAATAAATAGTCATTCCAAGATTTACTGGAACAAATCTCTTGTATGAAAGCAAGTGTTTGAGCTAATGAGAATGATATGGCTAATGTTAGTCCTTGATTTTACAGGTTAGGTTATTTTATAGCCATTCTCTTTATTACAGTCTTACACAATTTTTGATTCCTAAAGAATGTTGAAATTTCAGCAGAATTGTATTTTTCTGTCTACTGGTCATCTGCTTTGAGAATCAAAGTCAACACATTGATTCTCACCTAAAACTTTGGAGAAGAACTCCAAAAATCAGACTTTAGCACAGTTTTTACTTAAAGCATAAAGGAACCCAATAGCAAGTGACTTATTAGAAATTAAAGTAAAAAATTCAGTCAATAATTTCTCAGCTATTTCTGTCTCTCATTTCCAAATGCATCTTCAGCTTTATCAGTATTCTTTGACTCGTATGTAATTATTTGATAGAATATAATGTTTCAAAAAATAGTGTGGTTTTACATAAGGCCGGAGCAGTTTTCATACAAACTATTTCAACATTAACATCCATACATGCCTAAGCATTGAGCACCATAGCACTTAGACTCTAGGATTATGTTTACTTGAAGAAGCACTGAGGAGCATATTTAACGTTTTCTGTTAGTAACCTGAATGCTAAAACATCAAGTTCGTAAAGGCTTCGGTCTATGGCACTTTCCCAATGCTCTGTTCATCTGTTAAAACTCACAACAATTGAGTCAGCTTTAAAAGGAAAGGGAAATAGCTCATTGCTTTCAGTGTCTAATTTTAAAACGTGTGTGTGTGTGTGTGTTTTAAATAAAATGGTTTGTTTAGTTTTGAAAAGTGTCGAGGACAGTCCAAGTCTCGTGTAGTTCTGGCTGAACTGTTGCTGTCTTGTTAGTGTACTGTTGCATACGTCAATAAAGAGCTGAGCATACTTTCCGTGGTATCATATTCTTTGCTGTAAACCGGAACCTGTGACAAAAGGGTTGAAACTTCTAAAATGCATGCATGTGTAGTTAGGAGAACGTGTCACACACATGCACAAAATCATGCCTGTACTATTTCTTTTCACTTCAAAGAAACCTATAACTCATAGGAAGGAAGCCTATGCTTGGCACTGTGATTTTGACTTAATAATCCATATCTTCTGGAGCAACATTGTCACCACCCCCCACCATGCATAGTATATCCGTTCTAACTCCATTTTTATGGTATTTTGGAATTAATGTACAAACGAATGAACTTCCATAAGGCTTCTTCCTGCATCCCTTTGTACTTGTTTAGCCATTCACTTCTCCTCTCCCCCATAATCACGGGGCCCCCATCTCCGTTTAATTCTTTAACCTCCAATATTTTCCCTCTCCCTGCGTTTTATATATTGATACTCTGCAATTCCTGCAGTTAATTTGTTTTAGCTGTATGTGATATAGTAGGCTTCGGATGACTTTTCATACCATCTCCCTTTGGAATAAGTTCCCCCACTCTTACTAATTCCCCTCCTACTCCAGTGCTCTTGCTGGGTTAAGCCTTGCCACCTAGAGAAATCCACTTCTACTTTTTTCTTACCTATAATCTACTATCTCTGCTCCTTTAATACACCTCTCCACACAATTGCCCCTTTCTAGTTTCCTGGTGTCCACTTATTCACTCAGTACACAAAACAAAAGTTTGAAGCTAGGATCCACATATGAAAGGGAATATATGGTGCTTTTCTCTGGTCCTGCTTTAACTCTCTGCATATTTTCCAGGTTCATCCATTAACCTGCAAATTTCATTACTTCATATTTCTTTTATCATGGAGTAATACTATATTGTGTCTATGTATCGTATTTTTCTTATTCATAAGTCATTTGATGGACATCTGGGCCAATTTCATTTTTGAGTTGCTGTGAATAAAGCTGCAATGAAGATGGATGTACATATATATCTGTAGTGGGACATAAAATATTGGCTACATGCCCAGGAGTCATGTCACTTGGTCATATGGTGGTACAATTTTTAGTTTTTTGAGAAACCTGAATGCTGAATTTCAAAGTGGCTTCACTAGTTGGCACTCTCATTAGCAATGTGTAAGCATTTGACTTCCCACATGGCATGCTGGTATTTGTTGTCATTTGTATTCCTAACGATGGCAATTCTGACCAGGATGAAATGGAATCTCAAAGTAGTTTTTCTTTGTTTACATTTACTTGTTTAATCAATTAATTTTGAGCATTTTAGACCCAGGTTCTGTATTTGCATCATTTCTAGCAACTTTCTCTCCAATCCAAATCCTCCCATGCCCATTCCACCCCTCTCAAATATATGACCACATCTTCTTTGGTCATTATTATATCATATACACTACTATTTTACATATTATTTCACACACATTATATATATATTATCCTAATATATACATATATATGCATATCCTACTGAATTTATTTAGTATTTCTGATATATGTTTAAGGATGACCACTTTGTAATTTGGTACTGTCTACCTATCAAGGATCCAGAAAATTAATTCTTCCTATTTTAGCAATCATTTACCTATAGTTCGTCATGTATGGGAGTGGCCTTGTGAAATTTCCCCCATGCCCATTGGATTGTCAACTGGTGATGTCATTGTGCAGATCTTAGTTAGGTGTTCATATCGTTAAGATTTCTTGGGTTCAGCTTCCCTTTCACAGAAACAAAACAAAACACTATTTGACAGTGGAAATCCTTGTCCTCTGGCTCTTAGAATCTTCCCACTCCCTTCCCTGCAACTTAGATGTGAGGACTATGTTTTGGTGCTGCATCACCTGGGGATGAATACCCCACAGTTAGTTGTTCTCTGCCCTGTTCATTTATGGATTTTAGTAATGGTCTCTGTCTGCCACTAAAAGGAGCTTATCTTTTTTCTAAAAACTGAGGGGTAAGAATTCCATTTATTGCTGAGTACAAGAATGGGTATTTAGCAGTTAGGAGTTAGGAATTACACTGGCTTAGGAAGCTGGCAGCAGTAGTCTTACCTCTGGGGACCATGAACACCCCAGCCATGGTTAGTTGGCTAGATTTGCAATCACACGCATGAATTCCCTCCTACTGAGTAGTCCTTAAGTCTAATTAGACGACTGTTGGTAATCATGTGAGTTCTGAGGGCCACTATTGCACCCTTGGGTACAGCTTGCACTGTGGATCATTTGCTGTGTTTTGTAGACTTTCCAGTTGGGCAGGACTATTTGCTGCTTTTCTAACATGGCAATTTGCGTAGCACCTTCTGATACTGAGACCTTGTGCTAAGGGAGGAGGTTTGTAAGTAATACTAGTTCAGTTCTTACAAATCCTTTATCTGAAGTGTGTGGTGTCTTTAGCGGTAGGGACTTACTTTAAAGTTTTAGAAGGCAACCAAGGCAAACAATTGCCTATATGACTTGGGGAGGTTCTTTTTTTAATTAATTAATTTATTTATTAAAAATTTCCACCTCCTCCCCTCCTCCCATTCCCCCATTTGAGGGGTTTGTTTAGAAAGTCTATGGTACTTGGGGAGGGCATTATCACTTCCAGTGGTGTAACTTCATTAAGTACATTTGTGTGTGTGTGTGTACATATACTTATATTGTGCACATGCTTACACACACATTTTATTTTAAGAAAACAAAATGATGCTTCTTTATGGCTTTTTCAAACATCTTTAGTGTTTTTCCCTCCTTATTCCTTCTTTCCTGTATTCCCCTCCCCAGAAAGACACACCCACACACATTTTCCTTGTTTCCTACTTCAACGAACCTGTGTCCTATGATCCCCATGTTTAGAACTCCTTCCACCGTTCCCTATGGTTCCTTTCTACTTTGTGTTTTCTGTGATTGCTCCATGTTACATACTCAGATTTATAAATTTAGAACTACAGTTCACAAATAAAAGAGATTATGTGACAGTTCTTTTTCTGGGTCTAGGTTAACTGTAGGTACACAGGTCGTTCCCCATTTTTCCCGAGGCGCTATGCAGGGCCATTCTGCTTCCTGGTTCCACTGCACCAGCTTGAGGGTGTGCAGAGAGAGAACTCGCCCTCTCCTGTTATGATAATTTCACCTACAGCCCAAGGGTGTAGCTTAGAGAGAACTCTCCCTCTACTGTTATGGTAATTCCACCTGCAAGCAAGGTTCTCGCCGCAGGCAAGGTTCCCGGGTCAGAGAAAGAAAGGTTCCTCTTTTCTCTGTTCAGCTGCTCTCCGACCTTGGGTGCGGCCCCCTGATTTTTCTCTTTCCTTGTTCCTGATGGGGGGCTGGTGTCCTTTTGCCCCACGATATATATACCCGACTTTTGCTTAATAAAGCTGCCATTTGCCACTTGCTCTTTGGTAGATGAGCCCGGTCTCTTGTGTGTGTGTGTGTGTGTGTGTGTGTGTGTGTGTGTGTGTGTGTGTGTGTGT